GGAAAGAAGTAAAGAACTGGACGACGGACAACGGTTCGCTCATCGTAGCCGGTGTTTACAACAACGCCACTCGCCAGGATCATAATAATAATAATAATTGTAAACGAAATTGTATACTTGAAGTACTAGTACTCCCGACGTACACCAGGTTATTGACAACAACTAAGAATACTACACACTACAATACTTGATGACTTTATGAGTAAATTCTCGTCTAATTCCTCGGTGGTTATGACGTATCGGCAACATAATATCGTATTTTTTCGTTTAGGGATGTATTCCAACCGAGTTTATTGAAAATGGGTCATATTTTCCCATGACCCTAACCCGACTACACACAATACGTATAAGCGATTCCAATGGAAAGACTGGGGCTACTAAAGCTCTGTCCGAGATCATGGAATATTATACGACGAGTAACTCCGTTACTGTCAAAAGTCATAAATAGTTGCAATAATTCATTGAATTTAAATATTAAAAAAGTATGTTCACCTTTCGTGTAATTTATTACCATTATCACCACATTCTACAAGTAAAACAAAGTATAGATAATAATATTATGCAACATCAACTAAAGAGTGGGTGGGTATAATGTTTAATCAATTTTCGATACACGTTCGTAATTAGATAGTGTAGAGCAGACACAGAGGTATTAAATCCGAAAATGTACCTATATTGTCGGAGTAGAAGTGTAGAACGTCATAATAAAATTAAAGCCGTTATACGTAGGATAATGAACCTGAATAGTGTGATTGATTATTATTTCATTTAAAGTGTTCAGATAAGAGAAGTAACGACGCGTGGAACTGTGGAAGTCGATAACCGGCAGCGGCAGTTGTTGAACGCAATAATTATTAAACAATGCCGATAAACTACCATTCACATGAATACCAAAATGGTTCGATACGATTTTCATATGCGTCGTTTTGAATGCAGATTTTCATGAAAAATATCAAATCGGCTCCGGACGCGGTGATGCGAAATAATAGGAAGTGTTACGAATCGCCAAAACTGGCGGAGAAAACGGACGAGCGTCTCGTAAGAATCTCTTCAATTTAATAATAGGTCATCGTCGTCGGTGGGTTATCGGCCGTCGTTTAAGTACTATTATAATATCGTCGTAGCAAAATATGTAACAACAATGCAATATCGTATTGTTGCGGGCAAACCGAGAGCCAAAACACCACGCAACAGCGGCGAGAGGACGCGGAGTTTTTTTTGTTTACGCTGTAATTGCGTAAATGCACGCGCTGTAAACACACGCCGACGTCCGAAGAGACGACGCGCTATTATTACGCGCCGGCGTTTTCGTTTATTATTATTTTTTTTGATAATAATAATATTATTATTTTCGTTCCGAAAACAGTGCGACGATAGCCGCGGTTGGTTTTCTTTTGGTTTCGAATAATACGATAAAAATCGACGCGGCCGCCGTCTCGCAGTCACGTGGCGACCATGAGAAAAACACAAAACGTCCGATTTATATTATTTTGACGGTGCGCAATTAAATGTAATACACGCGATCAATGCGTCCGCAATTTTTTTTCCCCGTCTCGACGCGCAGTAAATTTTATTAATATTATTATGATTCGGTGCGTGCGCGTACTACGATGATAATATTATTATTAATTTATTATATTTATAAAACGACGACGACGATGATCAGCGTCACCACAGCGTACCGTCCGAAAATAGTATTATAAATTATATTGTGTTAAATGCAATTTTTTTTTTATTAGAAAACACAAAAAAAAACGGGCGAGATTTCGCTTTTTTTGGCGGCGCAATTTATTAATGTTATTCGACGATAATATTTACAACAACCATTGACGTTAAAATTCATGGTAAATATTGTCGTTTCAAGCGATCCGGCCGTTTGTTTAATTAACAAATTTGGTGTTTCCATATTTTACCAATATTATTAATAACGTAACCTACATAATATTATTGTCGTGTGATGCACTGCTTTAAGTGCTTTTCGGCGACGGCGTTCGAACACGAGTAATTATAAAATTGGTTTTTTTCGAGGGTTTTATTAAATTATTTATTATTATCTTTCATATCACATAATTTGATATTATTATACAAACAGCACGAGCATTATACATAGCTATTTTTATAGGTACTTATTCGAGAAAAAACGTAGACAAAGTTCGACGAATTGTTTGTGGTTCGGTCTCCGATCGATATTATATTATTATATTTTATGCATACCGTACCAACACGAATAAGTAAAACGCGAGGTAAAACGAATCTAACTTTTTTTCGTCATAAATGTTGTCGTCGATACTAAATCAATTAAATTACTTACATCGAATTTTGTGAGTGCTCTACCAAAAGAACTCTAAGGCAGGTTAGTAGTGTAAAAAATACAACCGGTGGGAAATGAAAATAGTATTTTATCATAATAATAATATATTACATTGACAATGTCAGTTGAAAAAGAAATTATATGTTTTAATCTCCCGAAGTAGTAATAACCTAGAAAACCCAAATTCCAATTAAAATACATAATATTATGTTAACTAATTTGAATACCTAACAGTTAGTTTGTACTTCGTTGAGAAAATTACCAGTGTTTTCACTTTATGTTATATCAGTAGGTACTGTAATAATAATTCATAGCATTATTAAGATTCCTAAATGTCAGTATAAATGTATAATTATGTATTAATATTGGCGTTAAAATTCAAATAAGATTTATAATATTATAATATTTTATTACGCATAGGAGTGTAGGCACTTGTTTAACTAATTTGTAAATAAAACATAAAACCAGTAGGTAAGTAGGTAATATCAATATAATATGAAAGTATTAAGAACAACAAAAGGTACCTACCTACTAAAATAAATCTAGTAATAAAAAAAATAGTTTTATCATTAATTTATAAAATATGAAAATAATAATATTATGTTGTGATTATTATGTTGAAGTAAATTTCAAATATCAATGTAAGCAAAAGGATTGTGATGGAAAATTATGTTGATTTAATATAATAATTAGAAGGCACATGACGCAGCAAGGTGAAATAATAGGTAGGTACTTGTTGTGTACCTTATTTTAATATAATGCTATAGAACAATGTACTAGATTTTAGCAATGAATTATATTTCACCATTTGAACATTTTTAAAAGTAGATAATATAATAATACATAAGTAGGCATCTATTTTACCTGAAACTAAATTATAAAATGATATTTTTTTATGATAAAAATAAGTATTATTTAAAACTTATTAGGTTAATGTATTGATAAATGAGCACATTTTCTATTTAGTTCCGCAGGTACTTGTAAAAAGTCCATAACATAATTGATTTTAAATTTATAATAGGTACTTACACACATTTAAAATCTGTAAAATAAATACATCAAATATCTTGTATAACTGTACAAGTAAGGAATGTTGATAGCAGATAACCTCTATGAAATATAGTGGTCTTATGTAATTAAAGAATGACATTTAAATGTCGAAGCCAAAGATGAATTTAAATGTCTAAGTCAAATGTTAAACTGTTACCTACCTACCTAATTTAGTTTAAAAAAACTTTCTATTGTGGATCTGTATTTTAATTAAACAAATTACCCATCACAGTCAACAAAACATGAGGATTAATCATTCTAGTGTACAAGAATTATTATCGAGAAAGCATTTAGATGTCTAGATATTTTTGTTGACAATTGTATCAAGGAAAACAACAACAGGGAAGAGAGAAGATATCAAAAACCAAGTGTGCAGGACTAGGAATAGAATGGGGATAGAAGCTATCATAAAAAGTATAGTATGGGGAGAGGTGCAGCGCATATAGGTACTGTACTCATCGGCAACTGAAACTATTGACTGGCAAGTGCAGAGGCCAAGGCGAAGAATATAAAATTAATTTTATCAGTGTGCAGACAGACTGACGGCTGCATTTGAACCGACCGCAATCGGTCTTTGTCCACAATACATTGTCAACAAATATGTGCCTATACCTACAACAGTACTACCGACATCATTTTACCCCTCGACAGTCCATCGGGGTGGCCCTCCCGTTCTCGGATCGCATCCCCCCGAAATAGGGGTAACTGGAAGCCATGGACTTAACCGCTCACCTGCAATCTCTTAAGCCGTCCGTCCCTGGCGGAATAGAACACCGAGGCAGCGATAGTTTCTATGTCGTTCATGTTACATCCACTGTCGTCGGACCTAACACGATGGCATGTCGTCAACAGCCGCGAGGCGCGCGTCCGGAGAGCCGTGTTTACAAGTGTCGGGGTACCAAGAAATACGACACAATAGGGGGGCACTCAGTGGCCCGGACGATGACTGCTCGATGGGGGTGGCGGAAGACCGCGACGAGATGCGACAGCAAAGGATATGGTAACAATATCAAACAGTCGCCGCCGTGTCGTGGCAAAATCGGGGAACGCACACTATACACGGACTTGATCGCAGTGAAACGCACAGGGCGCGCGCGCACGAGCTCGGACAGAGTCTATCGCTCACGGAATCGGGTGATTCGCGGAAATACTCTCTCGGCGGCGCGCGGTGATCGTGTGGATATCGCGACGTTGGCGACGACGAGTGCCGCTCAACAGAACCGAAAACCAAACTGACGTGTGGCGGTGCGACGACTGACACTGGCGACGGTCGACGATCGGTCGAGTCGACGAACCGATGGACGTGAGTAGAACGCAAAAATCGGCGGCCGGGTGGCGGTGGCAACGGGACGACTATGATAGCGGCGGCCGTTCGCTTTGTCGTTCTAATTGACCTTGAGCCGCGTCCGCAGTGTCCGCGGTGCAACAACGACAGCAGCACTCGCGGCAGCGTCAGCCGCCACAGCTGATCGCTTGGAGAACGCAACACACGCCACACAGCGGGCGCGCGCTAGCGGTTATCTACAACGTGCACACTCTTTCAGTACGGCTGGTTAAAGTCTGTCCTATGGTCCGGTTACCGGGTTAACAATCGTTACCATGAACGGAATATTTTATGTGACCGACGATGGAGGTAGATAAATGTTTTTATTTTACCAATAATATCAATGCCGCATTGGCGGTAAAACGCTAGCCACTAGCCAGTCGCGTACGTTGTCATCGTTGTGGTTACGCTGCGGACGATGATGATGCGCGCCGCTGATTGAGAAATTGCAAAGATGTAATAACAATTTTGTGGTTATTTTTTTTCCTCCTCTCCGTTTAAGCGACGCATCACGTATAATATAAATATAAACTATTATTTTGTCGCACGAGAGCTATTTAAAGCGATCGACGTCAGCGAAACTTGCTATAAGCAGAATTCGGCTTCGACGTTGGCACCAGGCCACTGTTCGTTCGTCTCGAGATCGTCTGTGGTCGCCGGGCGCCGTAGCTAACGGCTGACGACTGCGACGTGGGCCATTGTTGTTCAGATTTTTCTGAGCGCGGCCGTCTGACTTGAGCGCGTGGCCATGTTCCCATCAAAGGGATTTTTCCGGAACGTGTACTTCCAGCCCTACAACGACAGTGGCTCAAATTCGGTGAATTTGATTAACTCGGCCAAGAGTAAGTCTTAGCACGCACACACCCACCGCATCGGGGCGGGCTGAGGAAGCTATAGTCTATATTATGATATAAATAATACAATATTAAAATATGATTTAATTAAATCCCTATAGGTAGCCCTTTATATAAAATTCCTGTCCATGCCACTGCACCCCATTACATAGTGGCGTATATTTTTTATCTTAAATTTGTATGTAAAACATCTCATTCAATGACTTGTTCAATGAGTATTAGTGGACATTTTCAAATGTGAGCAAAACGATAGGTACCTATTAAAATTAAAATTAATACCAAAGTTTTAAATTTGATTCTGCGACACTACACTACCAAAGTGATTTTTAATATTGTTAAGATAATAACACAATATTTGTTTCACATTAATTAACTGATAAAAGACTGTTATGGAGGTAAGTCTATACGATAATATTTCTGCCTCAAGTTAATCACACTCCCAATCCAAGTTGGTCCATTTCACGATACTGTAATACTAAACACTAAATTACTACTAATGAATATTCTAACTTCACAAATTCTCTACTTAAATACTTATTCAAAGCCTTACAATAGTCTGGAAAATATCATAAGTACCTTATACAATTCTCGTATTAGACAATCTCATTTTCTGCCTATTTTATATTAGTTTATTACATTTACATAGTAACATGATGTGGGAGTCAGAAAAAAGCCTATTTATTTATTTAAAACATTTAATTATATTTTTAATTCTACAATAATAGCGATAGTATTCTATAGTAGTGAAACGCTACTTATCCATATGTTTTAGAATGTACTTATAATCCTTAAACATTATTTATTATTTTTTTATTAGAATTGATTATTTCCATTGTATGTACAAAATTAGTAAAGGCACTGAAAAATAAGAATCCTAACTTTGGAGATATATTGTAAGAGTGAAAATAGTTTATGAAACAGTTCCATCTTAACTCAAGAAGGGGTTTAAGAGAATTCCCCTCAGTAAAATTCCAAAAATATCATAAATTGAACAAAATTAACGTGGTATTTTGTGGATAAAGTATAAACTACATAATATTATCTCTAAGTCAAATGATTTATGTCTTACACCTAAGATCTGTATGACTTTATATATATAATGTTTATATTTCGTAGAGTGATTCTTTTTCAAATGTAAATTTATGTGTTTAATGTATAACGTTTATTTATGGACAAATTCTGCCATGATATTGTATACACATAATATTACACATGAGAAGCTTCAATATCTCACAAAATAAAGAACAATATAAAAATCGGGTGTAAAAAACTTATCAATTTAAAACTTGGCCGGGGTGGCTATCGCCCATAGATTGGCCCTCTCTTCGGTATCAGGTGTCTTCTCGTCCTGTTCTGTGCACTGTAGTCCGTAACATGTACTAAACCCATGTTATAGACGAACCGAGTGATGATGTTGGGAGACAACTTGCAATTGGTCATTCTCGCAAGACAAGTTATATTATACTCTACACCTTATTTTACTTTTATTTTTTGTTTTCCCTGGCGCTTTTGAAAATTACTGACCAACCATTCATTTTTCAATCAACTAAGTTACTGAAGTTGGAAAAAAGTTGAATGAAGTTTTTTACCGAAAAAAAATTAACATTATAAAATCAATATATTCATTACCCACAGAATACTATTGCTATTATTGTAGAATTATTAATATAATTGAAAACACTTGGGTAATTAAATTAATTTATAAAAATAAATAAATAAATTGGCTTTTTTTTTGCGGCTTATATTTCTCATGGATTTTTTCCTTACATTTGTATGATATATAGGTAGATATTGAAAACTTCTCTATTAACACATGTTTTGATGAAGAAACATTTTCTGAAAAATGTATGATGATTATTGATTTATAATTATTGCTCATTAAAAAAAATAGTACCCTTAGTATTTTAATGGATATCAAAACGTGTTTAAAATTAATGGTATTGTGTTGGTAGAATAACAACTAAATTACTATATTATTTTAAATTGGAATTATCAGTGAAACGACAATTTATAATAGTATTACACACTAGGTTTTGTTTCCGTGGGCGAGAATGGGGCTGTTATACTTTTAGTAATTTCCTAGAGGGGAGAATTTTGTTGAACTCTATATTGTATCCCAAAGGGGGTTGGATCCTTAAACCCTCCTGTGTGCACCACTAGTTTATAGTATATTCATAAACAGCTCATTTTTATTTACAGATAGTTTACATTTTGTACAACGACTTGACCTGGAGAAAACTTTGGACATTCATTACGGATCTGTGAATTCTGTGAATTGGAATGATTCTGGAACTTTATTACTTACGGCTGGTGATGATAAGCGCATAGTGATCACTAATCCATTTGCATACCATGTTTTTGTTAATTATAAAACAAATCATAAAACCAGTATTTACTGTGCAAAATTTTTACCCACTTCAAGCACCCATATAATTTCATGTAGTTCAGATGGTTCTGTTCTCAATCTTGGTAAATATTCATGTATATTTGTTATTTTTTAATCTACGTATTTTTAATCCAATTTGTATTTTTATATGCTTATTAGATTTGGAAAGAATGAAGGAAACAGAGTGGAATTTCTTTACTTGCCACAGTAGCCAATGCTATAAACTAGAAACAATACCCGGCGAAGATAATATATTTTTAAGCTGTAGCGAAGATGGTACGGTTCGCCAATATGATCTCAGAACTGGTGTTAAATGTTCTAAAGAACATTGCTCTGACGTAAATCAAATGATATGATAGGATGTATTATTATAATACTTAATGTAATTTTTTTTCGGTCCAATTCAAATAGCATGAATTCATTGATTGCGGTCAACCTGTTTCCACTATTGCGATAAATCCAGTTAAACCTTATCAACTTGCAATTGCCACTATTGATAGTATAGTTAGAATAGTTGATAGAAGAAAAATTATGAAAAAAGGTGAGTCATAGGTTAATCTTTAAGTCATACCTTTGAAGAAAAGCTACAATTTTGTATTTATTACTTGAGCTTTAATAAGGTATTATGCATACTTTTTATTATTATAATTAGTTTTGTCAGAATCAGTGGATATACGAATATAGTCTTTGAGAAGCAGTTCTTTTCAATATTTTTCTTATATAAAGGGGGTGGGTGGGTGAGTGCTCAATATAAAAGTGAAAAACAATTACTAAATAATAATTATTGTAGGCTAATAGTAATAGTTATGTGCTAATAGTACTTGTGGTAATTATACATTGTTGGTAAGAGGGTAGTGAGTGGGTGATGGGTTATTTAATTTTTGTTTCGATACTGCTCAGAATAATATTAAGAGGATGTACACTGACATGTGTTGACTCATTCTTACAACTGCTTATTATGCCAAATTTTACACTCAGCAAACCACTTTTAACTCTGTTAGTTTAAAAATTAGAGTGAATTGACCCCTTTATTAAATTTAAAGATAAGATTATTATCTGGGGCATCTCGTGGGCTTTTTATTATATTTTAATTTAGCAAGTTATGAATATTTCAAAATTGTATGTTACGCTCTTGTAAGATAGGTACAACAAATGTCAATGTAGTATCCTCTTAATAATTTACAAGTAAAATATGGATTTTGTTATTAATCTTAGCTTGTAAATTTGTAATGTAGGAAAAAGTTGATTGTATTTAAATTCCTTTGTTTTGCCTTCTAAATTGTTGGTAGAGTAAAACTAATTTTATTTTCAATCTTTTTTCAGGTTTATTTAAAAATATTGTTCCTGAATTTGCCTTTACTGTTCCTCATCTAAATCATCGTGCTTATCGTATATCATCACTGTCATACTCACCTGATGGCGAGGACATGCTTGCCAGCTATTCCAATGAAGAAATATATTTGTTTAGCCTCAATAAAGATTCATGTACTGCAGAAGTTGTAAATGACTATTTAAAAAATGCTCCAACTCCACCACCATACAGGCAGATAAGATTAAGAGGTGACTGGTCAGATACTGGTCCTTCATCGAGACCATCTACTGGTATGAAACTATGAAATAATATACACTGTGTCATACTGTCATCTACTCATCTGTCACATCTGTTCAGTGAGAGAACAAACATATTCTGCACATCTCTCTGGGTCACCTTGCTACTGAAACTGGTTCCCCTATGGCGGGTTGTTGGGTGAGAATCCGCAGAAGGATCGATTTTGGTCGGGCCGCTATGTGTTCTCTCATTGAACAGAGTGGGCGGGTACTAGATTGATAATAGGACTCTGGGTCTCTCATTTACACCGAAGAATTGGCCACCGGGTGACAAAGTTTAGTACCGGTACGGCCACATTGTTCAGAGGCATAGAGGCAGGCACAAACTTCCCTACCTCATTTATCGAATTATTCTGTATTCAATATTGGTGTAATATTTGTAAATACGAGATCTGTTCAAAAAGTACCGGGATTTTAATTTTAACTAACCGAGGTTTTACCCGGTGTGCGCCCAGGCCGTCAGTTGATTAGACATTCATATTTATTTTCATAGATTTATATAGTTCCTTAATATAAATCTGTTAAAGCGTTTCACTATTAGTTTAGGTATATTTTGTGATTTTCATACGGATATTCATGATGAAAATAATTAGGTATGATCACACCGAATACGTCTTCATGGTGCGTTCTGCGCACCACGTTTGTCGTGTACAAAGTGACGTCGACTGCGCAATATTTTAAGAGGTAACTTCAATGTATTTGTTGCGCACGTGATGTCAGCGTTATGCGCTTTGGATCTGTGTGGTCATACCTAATTATTTCTATTATGTGGATACTGACCTTCCCCCGATCCGGCTGAAAATCTATGTTGAATTTCAAGCGGATCGGACTAATAGTTTTAAAGATTAGGAGCGCGAAAAAAAGCCACATTCATTTTTATTTATATAGCCATTGAGGTAAATACAAAAGTTAAGTTACACATTATTTAAAGATATCTCCTTCTAAATACTCGCTTCCGGACAAAATGCAGTGGTCCCAGGTTACGTTTCTTGCCATTTTTGAAAGTCCTTTGGAACTGTTCCGAAGTTAAGACTGAGTTCTGCTGCCGTATGCACTTTAATTTCTTCTACATCCTGAAATCGTTGTCCTTAAAGTACAAAATTTAATTTTGGGAAAAGAAAAAAATCACACGGGGCCAGATCAGGATAATAGGGAGGGTGCGAGACAACAGGTAATTTTTATCAGCCAAAAATGCATGTATCGACAGCGTTGAATTGGCTAGCCCATTGTCGTGGTGAAGAAACTAGGTTTCTGGGCGTTTGTTACAATTTTTTTCTCACAAATCTAATATGTCTTTGTAACATACCTGATTAACTGTTTGTCCACAGGGTAGAAATTCATAATGAACAATACCTTCAATATCAAAAAACAATATGCATTGTCTTGATATTTGACTTCACTTGGCGAGCTTTTTTTGGCTGAGGGGAAAATTTTGTTTTCCACTGATATGACTGAGATCGTACATATGAATCCATGTCATCACCTGTTATAATGTTTTTTTTATAAAATTTGGATGGATGAAACAATTTTTAAGGTCTTGACAAATCATTAAACAATTCTTTTGTTCGAACATGTCGAAAACGCCAAACAAAACAAATCAAACTGATTCGACTTAACCATGTGTTTATTTAAACCGAGATAAAATAGCATCTTGGGTTTTGTTTAAAATATTCACTAATACTTGGGGAATACATCTATGTATAATTTAAAATGTTATTGTGTCTAGATTAGCCGTAATAATATTTGTCACGGTACTTTTTGAACAAACCTTGTATTACTAAATAATTGGAAAATAATCTGTTAGTTTTTGAAATAGGTACTTAAGATTTTAATTCACCAGAAATACTAAACTGGAAAACTACTGTCAACTGTATAGCACCTGATTCTGTGCCTCTGAACAGTTTGGCTTAGCACTTGGCGCTCTAGACATAGTGATTGATATATTTTATAAGTAGTTACTAGTAACTGAACCAATTAAAAATAAGAAATGAATAGTTTAATTTGATTTAAGGGATGTAACACACAAATTACATAACAAAATTATGTGGTTTATTAAGCTGTTAATAGGAAATTAAATTCAATAACTTTTTATACTATGTTACACAAAACATAATTATATATATATTTTGACTTAAGTATACTATTTGTAGTTTAATTTTAATTGTTAAGAGTATTAGTAAAAAAATGAACAATTTTCACTTTGATTCCATGCTGACATTTAAGTTTGGACCACATTACCTGTACCTAATGTATTAAAATACTTAATAAAATATTTGATTATTTATGCCGCCTAGATGATCCTACAAGATCAAGGATTCAGACTCGTTTTATGGATCGAATGACTGAAGTGCTGATTAATGTGTTTAATACACCAGCATTACATAATGACTTTTTGCAAAATTGTGAGTGAAGAAATTTAAAACTCCTATAGTTTATATTGATGTATAAAAATAGATAAAATATATTGATAATAATATAGGGCAACCAAATTATTCTCAATCCTTGGGAGATTTACTAAGCTCATCTACACGAGAAGGCGAAGTATCCCGATCTGATATTTTAAACCGTTCTAATAGGTCTACGGAAATGTAAGTTTAACAATTTTTAATTTCATTTCAAAGCTTATTGATATTTGTTTTACCTATTAAAATATTTCAAAAATGAGAAAATGGTCCACAATTATGAATACCAATTAAAAGTTGTGTAAGTTTAACAATATTGAAAAATAATTATTACATTTGTAAATACGAAAAATGTTGAATTTGAATTCGTATTTTCCTAATATTAAGTGTCTTGTGATTTGAATAGTATATTATCCTATTTGTATAAGCAACCATATTTAACAACAATATTTGAGTATCATTATTTATTATAGTGCCAACTCAAGTGAAAATAATACTGAACAGTCTAATTCAAATAGTGATTGTCACAAAGTTGAAAATAAATCAAAAACGAATAAAAAACCTTCTGTATTTGATGATCTTATTGCACTTCAACCAATCAAAGCACAGTATAAAGGTCATAGAAATGCTAGGTAAAGTCAAGTATTATAATTTAAAATGTAATCCACAACATTTTAATGATAGCTTATCAAAAGAAACTTTTCCAGGACCATACTCAAAGAGGCGACATTTTGGGGCAACGATTTCATTATATCCGGCAGTGATTGTGGTTATGTGTTTATATGGGATCGTTATACATGTGAAATAGTGATGTTGCTAAAGGCTGATGCTAATGTGGTTAATTGTATTCAACCACACCCTAGTAGGCTTTTACTAGTAACTTCTGGTGTTGATTATAATGTTAAGCTCTGGAGTCCAATAAGTGTTGATAAAAGGTTTTCTCCAGCGTTTGCAACAGAGGTATAACTAAAAAATTATCTAAACATTTTATACTCAAATTATTCACATTACATTACAAGGTTTTTATTATATTACTAGAGCACATTTCATAACTTAAGAGTTACACATGGCCACAATTTGTTGGTTTTCATTTGTACATAATATTATGTTTAGTTGTACTTTGAACAAAATAAATAAAATTAAACCAAAAATACTCTTACTACATTAAATATAATGAGATATATTTTATTTATTTATTTAATTTGTTCAATTTATTACACAGTTACAAAAAAAAAAACAACAGGCAAGTTAATAAAAATATGATTTGTCTCTCAAATCGCAATATAAATAGTTGAATTTGGTGAATTTCAAGGACTAGATATAAATATATATTCAGCTATTAATTTAATACTTACAAAAAAAAAAATAATATCATTTAAGTTATTCATAGACATTTTAATATAAATAATGTCAGTTATTTTGTGTACTCAAATGTTAGTTATTGAAAATAACGTGTAATTTTATTGGAATCATATTAATGATGAAAGGTAACCTTCAAGTGTGAGTAAATAATGGATGTTTAAAACAAACTGGCTTCCTTAAGAATAATAATTAGATACTGTTTGGATAAGGTACATTTTAAAGCTTAACTAAGTTTATATTCCAATTGAAAAAAACCAATTCAAAATTAATTGCTCTGTTATCTAATTTTAATTGTATAAGTCATAAAGTTAATTAAAATACATATTATTTTCGTTAATACTTAAATTAATATTTTATTTCAGTTAGCTGAAAGGAATAAATTAATGATGGAACAATCAAAAGATACAATTACAGTGTCCCCAGCATTAATAGTGCGAATGTTTTCTTATTTCAGTGAATTTAGGCGAGGTTAGTAAACTCATATATATATTTATCTCATTATTTGAAATGTGTTATTTAGAAGACGCTACACCAGAATGTGATGTCTCCAGCTTGTAAATGTGAAACATACCTAAAACTGTTTTGTGTGGGAAAGAACTAAAAAGACATCAGTCGTAACTAAGAAACATCATTTTCACTACATAAATAAGACAGCTTAGGCCATGAAGTATCGTTTTTACTTTTCCAACATAGGAACTACAAAAACTATAATTCACATATTTTTCAAATCTTTTTTACATATCATTTTTAATTTATTTTAATAACAAAATCAAATGCATTACATTTACAATTTTTCTTTTCCAACAAACAGACTCTTTTTTGGAAGAACACCACCACACATACTAATGGATATTTGTTATTTATTTATTTATTTATTTATTTATTTATTTTTAACATTCTATGTAATTCATTAGTACCTATTATTAAATATTTTTCATAACCAGTCTTGTAATTGTTTTCAGGTGGATATGTGGAGAGTGGGATTACTGATGATACAACTTAATTCATGTAAATATGATATCTTTTGGATTATTATATGTGCTAATATTAAAACCCAATTTTTTAAATAATACAGACAGAATCAAGCTAAGATCAAGCTTACAAGATAAATTAAGTTTTAAATGAAATTACTTAAATGTTCTATTTTTCTTTTTGCCTCACTTTCCTCACCCCCAAAACTGCAGAAAACAACAGATTAACTTTTTAATTTGAAAATATTATGATTAAATGAATTCAGTGATCGGGAGTGATACTTGTTAGTTGTTCTACTTACATATGATTTTTAAATGTCGTTTCTCTCTTATCTGAAATTAAAATAGATATTTTATAACTAGGTCTTTAGTCGATTTAATATGGTCCTCTAATTAGCAATCCGGGCTATTTGGGGAGCTTCCTAAGAAGTTCAACATAAATTTAACGCAATTGTTTTTATAATTTTGACTTTTGAAGTTCTTGAACATGAAGGCTTTTATTTCCAAACTTCTTTAGTTTTATTTAATCCTAATTAAACCATCATCCTATTTTGACAATAATAATAAAAAAAAACCTAAGATTAACTATCACAAAATTAAAATCAAGATTTGGTACCTATAATAAACTTTCAATTTGGTCAACCTTAAAATCAAATAAAAGGTTTAAACTAGGTAATAAAAAAATGTGTCACTCCTTAGGAGAAGGTCACTGCATTTCTGTGAATTTAGTTATGATAATAGAACATAAACTATTTTATTATTATGCTGATAATTATTATGTTAAATCTCATTTGGCTTGCTTTAATGAATTCTAATATGAATTTAAAATCTCTTAAGAAAATGTTATTTGCTAATTTCAAGTAATAAGGAAAGAAAATTAGATTTTATACCTAATGTCCTATGACCTTTTTACTATTTGTATATTTAAGATAAAATGATTGTTCAAAATATTGTGTTTTTATTATACCTACCTAATTTAGTATTGAAAGATTTATGTGTTAATATTTTTATTTATGTATGCATGGTTATTATTTTGTATCAAACGTCCGGTTGTCTATAACTTATGACAATATAGTAGAATAACTAAATTGTATACTTTGACATATTTGACAAATATGCCACTAATATAACCTACAATATATTAGTAAAAGTAAATTAAAGATTGAGGTAGAATATTCTTATTCTTTTTATATTCTTTTTTTATTTGTCTAAAACATTGGTGTACATTAATTTTATTGTATTTGTGTAGTACCATACTTAACTAAATCAGTAATTCAATCCATCATTTGTTGTGTTACTCTCTAGTTTGTTTCATATGTCAACTTATTTATATTTATGTTAAAACTTTTTTTTAAATTTTACATCACGCCATGTTAAAATATATAAAATAATGGAGAATTTTACAAAATACTATATAATTATACATGACTAATATTAAACTAAATATACAAATAATAAATTCTTCCGGCTCACTGTGCCACAGAATTAAATACATTTGTAATATATTTTTATATAAAAATTTTTTTTTAATTTAATATATTATGTATATGAAAAAAATCTGACTGAACAGAAAATTTATTTTTTATCCTGAATACAAGTCTACAACCTTGTGGTGATTTGTAGTTGTAACCAGTGATTGATTACATTCATTTTTTTTGGTTGAATTATGAAATGATTTTCCAGAATTTATTTTTATTTATCCTTAGATTTCTAATAGTTAACAGTGGCATGGCATGGCAAACTTAACATTTTTCAGAGACTAGTGGTAGTCTAATATTTTTCTTAACTAATAATCTGATAAATGTATTTACTCTCATATATGTTACCTACTACATTTTATAGTAATTACTAGAATATTATTAATATTCATTAATTATAATATAATATTAATACTCAATTATTACGCATTAGCCACCCACCACCCCTTCAAAGCTCAGGGGTGGCTTCCCATTAACCGCCATTGGCACTGTTAAGTACTTGTATATTTTTTATGTATCACCCAGGTAACATATTAATGATTATGCAATTTCCACATTTTGAGTAATCTAGGTAGGTACCTAACCATTTTGTACTAATATTTAATTCATCCTACAATTTCATATCTTACTAGTGTTATTAGTTATTACTTATGACACATTGGCTGAGGCAATAAGTATGTAAATTTTAAGTTATTGAATTGGAAAATATTAATTTGTTTACTTTTATTTAAAATCATTGTCTATTGCATCATCAATTAAAAATTAATTACCTATTGGCTATTACCTTGTAATTTTTACTGTGATTTAGAGATTTGTATAATTTTTAATAGGTACCAATTATTTTTCAATTCTACTGTAATAACTAAGTAACCAAGTTGTTGCTAAGCAATTGCAATGGGCAATTTATTGAAATGAATAACTTCTTTAGGGGCGGTAGCGTAAGTAGGATTCAGTTGCTTAACCGTTGCGACCAAAAAGCGTCACGACCGTAACCAGACGATCGGATTTTGCTGTCCGGTCGCCGCCGTGTTCCTTCTAGCTCAGAACAGTCAGAACTGATCCGTCGATAAAAATGCAGTTGTCTGTTTGAACACTAAGATTTCTTTGGTTATAAATAATAATCAATTTATTTTATCTCTATAATAATGACAGGTATTTTGTTACTTTACCGGACACCCTTTTTTGCAATTATTTTTTTTTTAGACTTTTGTAGTTAACTATACAGAAAACGATGGTGAAGTCAGAATTTGGCTGTCGGACTTAGTTTTGAAATTATGGCCTAATGAAGTTTGCTATTTTGCCATTTGTATGCATTCGTATTTCGTGCATCACTCCAGCCTACTACGCCTATGGCCTATTACGAATAACGAGGAGGACCTTGAGTTTGGCGAGTCACTACACCTTCTATTCTTATATTTTATACTGAAATTTAAGCGTATAACTGAGTTAAGTTAAGTTTCTCCTGTAGGCTGTAATATTTTTTGATATTAAATATTTGTCATTTGGATCATTTACCTAAAACTGTAAGTTAAATTTAATTATCGATCAATATTTAAAAACTAATTATATTTCCTGGAATTTGCGCATCACTAGACTGTCCGACTAACAAATTCTGATTGCATCATTGTTCTTAACTCGTTGTGGTGCATAAGTTTCCAAAAAAAAAAATAAATAAATATTTGAAATAGGCGCTTTTAAATAGAATGATAAGCGAATGCGTAAACTTAAAATAGCGAACTTCATTGGTAGGTAGGTCATAACTTCAAAACTAAATCCGATCGCCAAATTCTGACTTCGACATCGTTTTCGGTATAGTTAACTATAGAAAATAATTGCAAAAAAATTGGTGTCCGATAAAGTAATAATTAAGTTTCTACTTATTTTTTTCATACTCTGTAAATAAGTTTCACTTCATCCGCGCGTACTAATGTACTATTGCAACACGCACTATAATTTTTTACCTAATTAATAGTCAATTTCATTGACAAGTTAAACAATTAAAAAAATTATCTTTTTGCCTACCCTAGAGTTTAGGTAAACATAAATTGTAATAACTAATAAGTATAACTAATTTTACAATTCTATAAAACTTCAAAAAATAACAGGTACTTATTTGTGTTAATATTACATTGAATGTTAATCGATTTCACTTGAGGTGACCGACTTCATATTATACACTCAAGCGAGGATTTTGAATTTACATTTCTTTATATACGAAAAAGCTCTGGATATACTCATAGACGCCGAACGGCGCCTGATTAGCTATAGGACATTGTTTGCGATCCGACGAAGTCGGATTGCTTACTTAGGTAGCTAACTTGAATGTTAAACGATTTTCACTTGAGGTGATGGACTTGCTAGACATTCCAACACAGATTTCGAGTTTACATTTTTTTACATACGAAAAAGCACCGGACATTCGACGAAGAATCGTATTAATGTATTATTCAATTGCCAATTTTCGTTTGTGAAGTGAGATTTCTAGACACTGAAACTGGTATCTTAAACATTCCCGCTCTCGAAAGGAGACCCCCCAGACTTATCAAAAATCCTTATCACCTCCTAAATTGTTGTTTTTTAACCACCCATGACTTCAACAGGAGTGACTTCTATAAGTCATTTCAACGACATTATCGTCTGCATCGCCGAGTCTCTCAAGCCCCCGAGTTTCACTGGCAGAGTGGCAGCTAGTTTCATATAATTGTTCAAGTTAATAATGACATTATAATTTTGATAATAATTGATAATAATCCGTATTAGATTTACGCGCGGTTTTCAAATGAACTAAAGAATGCGGGTTATTTATACATATGGCGCTTTGGCACTAAGGTGTTTGGTAATACGCGACCCGGTCGCTACGGTGTCAGTACATTCCACAGATACATAAAAGAGTCATTTTATTATCTATGAGTACATCGTACTGACTGCCGTTGCGTACCGTGTTAATCTGAAAAACTGTTATTCACCCATAAATGTATTAATGTCGGTACCTACGCAACAATATTAATCTATTTTATAATTAATTTCTAGAGCTGCAACGCATCTGCATTCAATATAATAATATGTATAAGTATAATATTATATATTCGGTTAAGTTATTTACTTTAAGACTTGAGTTAAATTATATAATATTTTTAATTACATTTTGTTTAAAAAAAGGTTTTGCTTATTTGTTGGAAACGATTGATATACTTGATAAAAGCCATACGTGGGATTATTTAGTGTCAATAACAGAGAGTGCAATACTTAGCTGTGATCAATTTGGATGTGTTGTTAGCAGTGTCGTTACAGATAAAGCTGCAAAATATGTCAAAAATGATAAGAAATTTGGCTTTGAGTGAAAAATTACAAAATAAACAAATCATAACATACGGGTATTCAGCACACTTGTTAAATTTATTAGTTCATGATATAGAAGCACCTGGAATTAAATCTCATATAAAAACTATATTTAAGTATTTTAGAAACTCTAATTTCTTTGGTGCTAAATATAGAATGGAAGATGGTAAGACATTGGTTATGACTCAAGATGTTAAATGGAACACATTAGCAGATACTATCCAATGTTATCTGGATAATTGGTGTTTGCTATACAAAATATGTGATGATGTGCAGTTTGATGGTACAATTTTTGCCAAAATTAAAGATACTGAAACTAGAAATATTGCTGAAATATATTTAATAAAATTGAAAAAAAATGCTGTGTCCTTAAACAAAATCCAAGCTGATTGTTTTAAAATAAGTGAAGCTACTCATATTTGGTTCCATTTGAGAACTTTTTTTGAAAACGAAGTTTGTAGTTCAGAAATGTTGAAGACTTTTACAAATCGTTTTGAAATGGAAATGAGTGAGTACCATATTTTAGCCTGTATTTTGAACCCTCGATATATTGGTGAAAAATTAACCAAAGAACAATTAGATAATACTCTGAATTATGTAAGTATGTATCATCAAGAAATTATGGCTGAAGTCAGAACCTTCCAAGCACAGGGATTTCCTTTCAAATCTTACCTATTCAATGAAAAAGTTGTTTTAAAAATTAAACCACTGACATGGTGGACAGCACTGGAAAAAAACTTAACGATGAAAATGAATGAAATGGTTAAGCAACTGTTCACATCATGTGCTTCATCAGCTGGCATTGAGAGAATATTTTCAACTTATTGTGTAGTTCATATAAAACTAAGAAACCGGTGAGGTGTCGAAAAATCTTCTAAATTAGTCTCTGTAATTAAGAATTAAAAAATTTTTTTTGATGGTCTGATCAAAGGGTATTTCGAACTGACTGAAAAATCGGTTATCGACAGATATACTCGGTTAAAATTAAAATTAAGGAGAAATTAATGTTGATTTATATCAAAATATAATTCATTTATAAATAAGTTCAAACCATTATTGATATAGGTGCCTACCTAAGATACTTAATGAAAAAAATATCACGAACAATTATTTACGAATTAAGTATCCTGTCATACACCAGTCTCCCATATACCTACCGTAGAGAGATTAATTTTAGAATTTACCAATCATAAAATACTGGAGGAAATCGCGAGAATCACAAAAAAATATAAAAAATTCTTGATATCGTATATCATGGTATTTAAATCGTTTTTCGTAGATAATTATACTCACTCTAAAACTCTGTGGCCATTTCCCATTAGTTATT